GGGATTGTTTTAGCATATTTTTTTTTTATTATTTTGTTCTTTTTTTTAACGTATTTTTATAATCATCTTTTTTCTTTTTTTTTATTTTTTTTTCTTTTTTAAAAATATAAGTTTGTATAAAGCTATAAAACTATGTTTAATCATTTATATTCTTTCTCCACATCACATTATGTTCCACTTAAATTAGCAAAGTTGCTGTTCACTTCCGGTTATATCATGTTATGGCATGATGCATGATGTCTAGATGAGGTACGAACAAGGTAAGGCAAAGGCAGAATAATTAAATTCCCAAAAAATTTACTAATGTTAATACCGGCACCAATAAGAATAAGACGAAACAGAAGACCCAGGCTCATTTATGTAAAATAAGTGGAACAATACCTGAATGTTCTGAATACAACGAACTGGGAAAACAAAGTATACATGTTAAAATGGGGAAATATTTAAAGCAGAACAAGTCACATTGTATCAAGTTAAGAATATTGATAATAAATCGATAACGTGAAGTTCATGCAATTAGTCATAAAGGTTCTGCAAGAAGAGTACACTTGAAGAAAATTAAATCATGATTTGAGAGATTTATTATATTATGATTAATAATAATTTTTAACAATACTCTTTACAAAAAGTTTTAAAAATTGAAACCTTATTTTTTAGATTATCATTTTTATACACAAATAAAATTGTCGATAGATTATTCTTCCGTATTCAAAATAAGAGTTTAAAAATAATTTTTTATTAAAATTTACGTATTGTTAAATTATCTACAATCTTGTACAGATGTTTGCATATCAGTTTTTAAAAAGCTCTCAAACACGTAAAAATGAATTTGATTGTGTAATGATTTTAATAAATTAGGCGATTAAGAGCATAGGTTAAAATATGTAACCTTCGAAATAACTGTCAGGATGTGTACAATCTTATTTACTACTTTGAGATAATAACATTTAGAAGTAGAATTTCTACACGGAACGTAATATTCTATGTTTATAGTAGCACCAAAGATGTATAATTCTGTAAACTAAATTAAACGATTGAATGAAACGGTATTTTAGAAATCAGCGAAACCAGATGGCATTTCAAACGGAATATTTCAACAGCAAATCACAACCTTCTACTATTCTGGATCAACAAATTAGAATTTACAGCACTAAAACGGCGCGGCGTTGGGTTATTAATAAGAAACAAAATATAGAAATAGTAATAAACTTAGTAGTTCTCTTGGATCGAATTATAATGATCCAACTAGCGGAAGCTTGGAAAATAATAACGAAGGGCCAGCAATTCTGAAATCTGAAATCATAAATGCAATTTATCATCTCAAAACAAATAAAAGCCCAGGTCCAGACGGAATATACCCAGAAACGTTCAAATTAATCAGCGAAGAAAATATCGAATTATTTGTCCTTTTATTCAATCGCATTTATGATACAGGTAAAATACCCCAAGATTGGCTGGAGTCAATATTCATCCCACTACCAAAAAAGCCAAACCCACAACACTGCAATGAGTTTCGTCTGATAAGCCTTATGAGTCATGCAGTAAAAGTCCTACTAAAAATCGTATATAATCGTATCTATAGAAAGTGCGAAACAATCATCGGAGACGATCAGTTTGGATTCAGAGCCGGCATGGGAACGAGAGAAGCCCTGTTCAGTTTACTAGTTCTCGCCCAAAAATGCTACGACCAACAGAAAGATATATTTATATGATTTATAGACTTCGAAAAAGCATTTGATAGAGTAGGATACGACCTACTATTAGAACGTTTGCAAGAAGTCGGTTCAGATGGGAAAGACATCAAATTCTTAAAAAACTTGTACTGGAACCAAAACGCCATAGTTAGGATCGAAGGTTGCACATCCGCAGAAGTAGAAATTAGGAGGGGAGTTAGACAAGGATGTGTTCTGTCGCCTCTGCTGTTTAATCTTTACTCCGAGTTTCTATTTAAAGAAGCATTGGAGGATTCCAAGGATGGAGTCAAGGTGAATGGCGTAAATATCAACAGTATCAGATACGCCGATGATACAGTGTTAATTGCGGATTCCGACTCAGGTCTACAACGACTCATCAACAAGACCAACTCGACCTTTGAGCAATTTGGTATGAAAATAAACATTAAAAAAACCAAAGTGATGTCAATTCGAAAAAACCAAAACGTACCTCAACCTTGCACAATAAATGGTCACATCTTAGAACAGGTCAATAGACTTAAGTACCTGGGATGTTGGATCGATAGCAGCCTAAATCCTGATCAAGAAATAAGATCGAGAATAGAACAGGCCAGAAAATCTTTCGAAAAAATAAAAAAACTGCTTTGTGATTCTCGAATAAAACTCGAAATTCGACTACGTTTATCAAAATGCTACGTCTGGTCGACTCTTCTATATGCAGTTGAAACGTGGACCCTTAAAACATTAACCGTAAATAAATTGGAGGCCTTTGAAATGTGGATCTACCGGAGAATACTCAAAATTTCATGGACATCGCATACCTCAAACGAAGAAGTACTGCATAGAATAAGCAAGGAAAGAGAACTTTTTAACACAGTAAAAGTTAGAAAAACATCATACCTAGGCCACATACTGAGAAATAATAAGTACCAATTTGCCCAACTTATAGTGAAAGGAAAAATCGAGGGAAAGAGAGGCCTAGGAAGGAAAAGACTATCGTGGCTCAGAAACATCCGACAATGGACAGGGCTAAATTTTGAACAGCTAATAAGAACAGCTGAAGATAGAGAAGAGTTTAAAATTGTAGTAGCCAACCTCCATTGAGGAGAGGGTACTTTAAGAAGAAGAACTAGCGGATCAAGTTTTTGAAAGTTTTACGAACAACTACAAGAATTGCTTCGATCACTTAAATTACAGGAAATATTTACATAATAATAGGTAAATTCAAAGAAATTGTAGGACATAGAAGTAATTCAAGGTTTTACAGGTCGGTTAGGCATAGGTGAAAAAGTAGTAGAAAACTTGAACAAAATTGAGAAAACTTGAATACTTAGGCCACCTGATGAGAGGATAAAAGTACATATTCCTACAAAATATAATGCAAGAAAAAATCCAAAGACGCAGAAATCCACGAGGTAGAAGAATGTCCTGGATGAAAAATTTACGTGTGTGAGTGGTTTGACTGTACCACTTACGAATTATTCAAAACAGCAGTAAATAAAATTAAAATCGCCACAATGATATCCAATCTCCGATAGGAGAGGCACTCAAAGAAGAAGAAGAAGAAGAAGGCATAGGTAAAACGATTAAAGGGTAATAAGTTTTGCATGGAAAATTATTAAACCCTTAACAACACCTATTTCAATTTGCTTCCAACACATTTCTATACATTGAAATCTTCTCAAGATACTCCCCAATAGAGAGGGCAGACACTTTTAAAATAACGTGACACGGGTCGCCGTAGATCCTGTAGCAAACAGCGGCTCAGACCATACTCCTCTAATTCTTTTATCTTTAAGTGCATTCTCCTATTAAAGATTGGTAAAAATTTTGGCAAATTCTTTTCTATTTTCTAATCGGTCCTTTTCAGCAAATTTTTAAAACCAAAGCCTATCCAATCTCGTATGTTTTTAATTTAGGAGCACTATCTCTGTCCCGATCTACGTTTGTCCTTAAGATTAACTTTGATTAAAAGGTAAATAAAATCTAATTTATTTTCCATTTTTTATGATCACAATAGGCTCACGTTCTCTGCTTATTTGGTGGATAACTTACAAATTATAGATACGGAAAGTTCAAGTTATTTAAGTAAGTTATTTAGTAAATTATTTAGTAACAGTATGGAATGTGTGCAGCACTTTGCAAAATTGTATCTTATTTGCAGATCGAACGGCCTATCACACAAGAGGCTTGTCAGTTTTAAAATGTTTATCCTGGCCATTTCAATTCGGTTTCGGATTTTTAAGTCAAAATTCAGACTTTCACTGATCTAACTGCTTAATTATTTATGCTTTGGTAATGTCTGTGCCATATGCATTTATGTGCACTAGTTGGTTTGGATTTCGATTTACCACTAATATTTTCGTTTTTTTGTGTGTTGATTTTTAGGCCCAATAGATCTCGTTTCACTGATATATTGTCAAGTAGACACTGTAGGCTTTCAGGACTCTCTGAAATTAAAATTGGGTCTTCGATATATCTTCTTTATTAATTCATCATTAACTGGTATGCAACCTTCTGAGCATTCAATGGCGTTTTGGAATATATTCTCAGAATACATGTTAAATAGCATAGGGATCATGCAGCCCTGTCTCAACCCACGTTTACTTGGGATAGCTTTTGTTAATATATTTTTCAACTGTACTGTTTCTACCTGGTGTTTATATAGGTATTCAATTTTGCTAGTCATTAGACAAAGTGTCTATAAGGACTTGTTGATAGTAGCAGTTGTAACTCTAGTTGTCATAAGCTGTTCTATGCTCAATAAGTCTACCTGATTTCTTATATATTGTATATATTGCTTTTAAACGTTTTTCTTTATTTGTTGTTGCTCTATTTGTATTTTCAACAATCTATATAACATCGTCTTAGTTTCAGTTAGAAACATTGATAATACTTTTTTAGTTTTATGTTTATTTAATTTACTCTTTTTTATTTTAATTGTAAATATTAATTTGATGGTACCCTTTGAGGTATAAAAATGATGATGATGACATTTTCTCGTACAGAAATATACCAGATATCAGTCGGTGTGATAAATACTATAAACTTAGGGTTTCTGTTAGACTTCTTGAGAACCGCAGCTCTAGAACAACAAGAATTTGGTTCGAGACCCACAACATCCTATTTGTGACCAAATATGAAAATTTCCCAAATGTACCTTAAACTTAACGAATTAAAATTTTTTACCAAAATTAATTAAAAAAGTATTCGTATCATATAGAACTGATGTATGTACCTTTTTAATTTGTTAATATAAATTTAACATTATTCATTGATTAGTAACTTGTTTGGTAGTAAACAATTGTTGGGAGGAGAAAAACGAACCTGTCAGGTTTTGTGATGTACTTCTGTAGCTGGAATCTCCTTTCGAGTCCTTTTCTTTGTAAATTACTGAACACAGCTCTAGACCAAGAACGTTTTCTTTTGTTTTGATTTGAGGAACACGTTGATAAGTTTGTAGATGAGTGTGTAGGTGAATGGCTGTCAGCTATTCGGATACCTGTAAAAATTTAAGAAAAATTAATACTTTTCTAGATCAATAGTCATTGTCACATTATTGTTAAAAAATATAATTTACTGTTCAAGATACAGTACAAGGGATTCCTATATTTAAAAAGTTATTTATCACCAGTTTAATCATTAAGAAGAACTTGTTAGCCTAGATATTAAAAGAAAACAATTCATCTGCTTCCCAATTACTATAACACAATATAATATAGCTGATTCTTTCATGATGGATTTCAGATGCTCATACTCAACATTAAGGTCTAGATTTTTGGTTACAAAAAATTTAAAAAAAGCTAACGAATTAAGTGTTTATTCTTTTCAACCTATTTTAAGTTTTAAGAAAGCTTTAGAAGACTCTATAAAATAGGCAGTGATCACTACTTACTAAAAACTACATTTAACGGAGAAGAAATAGAAACAGAAATTACAGAAGCATGAAAATTGCATGAAAAAAATGGAAACAAGCGAAAGATGAAAATTTATTTATGTATGTAATGTGCGATTAACAAACTAAACCATATTCAGCGGATGGCTTGCATAAATATGACAGGTGCCATGAAAACAACACCAACTGCTGCAATGGAGTTGATCATTGGCATCACGCCTCTAGATATATATGTCAAGGAGGTGGCTCTAGTGACAATGATGCGACTGCGCTCAGCTGGTGCAAACCTTGATGTAGGAATGGGACAATTGAGAACGGCGGGGAGAGCTGGATGCGCTACCAGTACTACAGGCAGGCTGCGACTTAATTGAACCAAAGTTCGTCTTTAACAAACCCTACAAAATTGAAACAAGACAGTATATGGAGACAAACGTGGCAAATGCCTACTGCATATACACTGATGGCTCCAAAATGAAAGAAGGCTTAGGATGCGGGATATACTCCAGATCACTGAACCTAAGAATAAAGTGGGGTATAGGCAAAAATGCCAGTGTAGTTCAGACAGAACTGACTGGTATTTTCATAGCCGCAAAAGAGATATCCCAAAAAGGTATAGTAGGGAAAACTATAATGATCTGCACAGATAGCAGACAAGCACTACTAACCTTGAATAGACCACGTGTCACATCAGGTTTAGTAATGGAGTGTCACGAGTCACTAAGACAAGCTTCTGATGGTAATACCATCATCCTGAAGTGGGTTAAAGGACACAATAGGAATAAAGGCAACCGCATTGCTGACCAATTATCTAGGAAGGCGGCAGGCCTAAGACTCTTAGGACCTGGGGATCTTTTTGGTTGGTCAACTACAACAATCGCAGAAATTGTCAAATGTCACTCCCATACGCAAACCGTAAAAAGATGGGAAGAAGGGAAAGGATGTAAACTTGCTAGGGTAACACTAAGTAACCTTGAAGAGTCAACATCAAAGAAGTACTTGGAAATGACCAGGAAAAATCTAAGTTTGGCAGTTGGTTTTTTAACTGGTCATTGTCAACTAAGCAAACACCCCCACACACTGGGGCTAGTAGACACACCTCTATGTAGGAAGTGTGAACGAGAAGACGAAACTATAGAGCATGTCCTATGTGAATGCCATATGAGTTATCGTTAATACGAGATTATGCGTTCGGCGAGTCCTGGCCCACACCTGCTCACATAAGTGAGATGTCTCCTGGTGACTTGTCCACCTTCCTAGAAATGGCAGGATGGACAATGAGCTAAGGGTGATAGCTCCCTGGGAGGATGCACAGTGGGTCAATTGTGGTCTAAGTGCTGTGAAACCTAACTCGCCCTTCCTACTCTACAGATACAGATATGTATATAATGTCCGGATACTAGAAGAACATCAAAAATAAGGCTTAGAAATACAAAAAAAAAAGAAATGTAATAAAAAAAGGAGCTGCTAAAGAAAAGTGGCTGGCGGATCGATGTTTAAAATGGAAGAATTAGAAAAAAAACATAGCGTGTTCAATATGCATAAGAACGTTCGTGAATTAATGAAAACTGTTAAAATAAGAAAAATCTAGGGCCATAGAGAAATTGGAAGAAAGTAGTCATGGCTAAGAAAATTCACTCTTGGACTGAAATAAGCAATACCTAACAACTTTCCCATTAGCTGAATACCATAAACTATTTGCCAATATAATTGCCAACGTGAGGAGAAAATAATATGCCACCCAAACATGAACATCGTCCAATTAATATATTTTCAGCGCATTAAAACAGAATGCCTGTTTTCTCGGAAGAACTGTAACTCCTAGAGAGCGCTTCCCCAGGTGGCAGATAGGGAAATGCTCGGCCCGGTTTACCGGTGGGTAGGAGGGAAATAAAATACCTCCCGTGGGCCAACAGGTAATTCACCGAATGATTGAGGGTCTAAGCAATCCCCTGGTTACCGACTAACGGTTTCGGGCGGATGAGTCTTTAGGTAATTGGACACTCTTTTGTTCTGGAGTTGAGAACTCGACTCCACAGGCGGGAGAACCAATAAATTGGTCAATGGCAGAAGAATGCAGAAAGCAACGGGAAACCACTGCATTAAAGACTCATGGAGTATCCCTAGAAATCGTCATGGCTTAAAGAAATGACAATCAACAACCTACTAATCATAGTTCTCGGATGCCAAGATTCGACAGGGGAAGAAACAATAGTAACGACAGGGCTTCCCAGGCCGTTAGCCAGCGAAATCCCTGTTTCATCCCACTAAACATATACAAATTCATCTACAAAATCGCTACATGGAATATAAGAAGTATGTATGAACCTGGGGAACTGAGGTATATACAGCAAGAGATGATGCGACTGGAGATTGATATATTAGGAATAAGCGATACAAGATGGGTCAGTCTGGCGAACTCAATACAGACAATGGACAAATGTATTACTCTAAAAGCAGCGACACTCAACACAGATATGAAGTTGCTATGATCCTAAGTGAAAAAGTAACGAGATCAGTAACAGGCTTCGTTCTGATGTCCAAAAGAATTATATACTGCAGCTATTGACAATCCATGGAAAAATGAACTTAATTCAGATTTATGCGCCAACTGCTGACAAAAATGAATTAAACTTTTATAGCTAACTTTAAAAAACATTACATCTCACAGCAGCTAGAGATATAACCCTAATGTAGGACCATATGGGCTTGGTGAACGAAACGACAGAGGAGATCGTCTAATAGAATTTTGCCAGGGGCAAAATGATATAGCCGCAATTACATTTTTTAAATTACCTAAGTGACGCCTTTATAAATGAAAATCGCCAGCTGAAAAAGACAAAATCGTCAGAAATCAAATTGACTACATCCTAATAAAACACAGATATCGAAACTCAACTCATGTAGTAAAGGCATATCCAGGAGCAGACGTACCCTCTGATCACAGTCTTCTTATTGCTAGGTTTTAACTAAAAAAGACGCAAAAAAGCCGCAACAATAATAAACTTTACAGAAACTAAAGTCAGACTAAACAAAAGAAAATCTGAAACACGAAATCAACACAAATCTAGATAGAAACCCAAGAAATAATTACAACGTAGAGCAGCAGTGGCAATTCTTCAAAACCTCTATATTGGAGCCAAGTAAGAAAGTACTTACAACAACCAAATGTAATAAAAAAGAGTGGATGACCGAGGAAATTCTAGAGTTGATGAATGAAATGAGAAAAAACAAAACCATCAATACAATTAGCTATAAACAGCTTCAAAACCAAATAAGAAGAAATATAGCGAAGCTAAAGAAACCTACTTCTCTGAAAAATGTAAAGAAATAGAAGAACTCCAAAACAGATATAACAACTTTAATCTACATAAAAAAGTTAAATAACTAGCCGGAGTAGGAAATAGAAAAACCTCAAATATATTGCTCGATAAAAATGGAAATATTATATTGGAGACAAAACAAAAACTACGGCAATGCAAAAAGTACATCGAGGAATTATTTCATGACCAGAGGGAAGCTACTACATCTGTAGATAGCCAAACGGGAGATTTGGGCCCAAAGATAACCTAATCAGAGGTTAGTTAGGCATTAAGCTCAATGAAAACCAATAAATCTGCTGGTCCAGATGAATTACCAAGCGAGCTATTAAAGTTGGTCAACGAGAAAAACCTGGACATAATAGTAGAACTGTTCAACGCTATTTATACTACGGGAATTATCCTTAGAGAAAGGTTGACATCAGCATTTGTGTGTTTGCTGAAAAAAGTAAATGCCAAAGAGTGCAGTGACTATCGAACCATAAGTTTAATGTCACATACCTTGAAAATTCTGTTGAAAATTATCCACGCCAGAATTCACTCTAAACTGGAGCTGGATATTAGTGACACATAATATAGGTTCCGCAATGGTATGGGTACCAGAGAGGCATTATTCTCCTTCAAAATGCTAAGATAGAGATGTTTGAATGTTAACTGTCCTCTTTACGTCTGTTTTATAGATTACAATAAAGTATTTGATAAAGTAAAACATGACCGACTCATAGAAATTCTAAAAAATAAAAACCTAGATGAAAGAGATTTAAGGCTAATAACAAACCTTTATTACAATCAGAGAGCAGTAGTACAAATTGAAAAAGAGACATCTGAAAAAATAGAAATAAAGAGAGGTCAGACAAGGCTGCATACTATCACCTCTATTATTTACCGCTTATTCTAAAGAGGTAATTCGAAAAACTCTGGAAGATTAAACAGTCGGCATAAGAGTAAATGGTGTCTCAGTTAACAATATCAGATATGCAGATGATACAGTAATATTAGCTGATAGTTTACAAGACCTGGAAAGACTCATAAGTAAAATAGTAATGTGTAGTAGGGAGTACGGACTCTCGATCAATATCAAAAAGACGAAGTTTATGAAAATTTGTAAAAACAACCATAATACTAAAAAAAATCTTGATAGTAGCGGACCAGCAGATCGAGAAAATATAAAAGTTCACTTACCTAGGAACACTTATAACAGAAAATAATGACTACACAGCAGAAATCAAATCAAAATCAAATAGAACGTTTTAATTTTTATGAAAAATAAAAAGGTCCTATGTGGCAAAGATCTAGCATTAACTCTTAAAGTACGCCTAATAAAATGTTACGTGTACAGTTACATGTTACTATACTATGGAGTGGAATCATGGACGTTAAATCTAGACATAATGAGACGACTTAACGCTTTTGAACTGTGGACCTATAGAAGAATTATGAGGGTTTCCTGGATAGATAGAGTTACAAACAATAAAGTACTAAGAAGAATCAGTAAAGAGAAGGAAGTTGAACTTACAATTAAAGAAAGAAAGCTACAATATCTTGGACATGTGATGCGGAGCAAGAAGTATGGCATCCTGCGACTTATAATGCAAGGAAAGATAGATGGCAGAAGAAGCATCGGAAGAAGATGAATTTCATGGCTTAAGAACCTGAGAGAATGGTTTGTATGCAGCTCAAAACAACTATTTAGAGCTACTGGCTCAAAAATTAAAATAACTATGATGATTGCCAACCTCCGTAGCGGAGGTGGCAAACGAAGAAGAAGATTGAAAAAAAAACCAAAAAACAATATACAGGATAAAATATATTAGTTTTAATTTAGTATACGCCAGTGACCAACAAAAAATAGTAAAACAACAACAGAAAAAATAAGTTCCAAGATCTTGCCAGTTAAAGTGTTTTACTAACAAAATTGTTTCATAACCCTATTTTTTCTATCACTATTGTATTTTTACTTTTATACAACATAATAAACATTTGATTTTTTTAAAGGAAAAAATGCTTTTAAAACAATATATTAGGCATTATTATTTTGTCAGAATAATACGTACTTTTAATATTATTGCATATCTAAGTACCTTGTTGTAGGTGAGTGGCAAGAAGTCGAGTGGCAAGAAAAATCGAGACAGGTCCAGATTTAATCAAGAAATCAAGAGTTAATAATAAAATATTTAAAAGGTGGTAAATCTGCAAATCCCGATCTGGATATGGATGGATGCCCTGATAATAAATATACTAATGCAAAGATGGTACTTGAAGAAGAAAAGGGCAAAAAATGCTAGTAACACACGACTTCAAATATTACAAAAATGCTAAAGGATAGCAGAAGTATATAGCACCTAGAAAATAAACGTGATACAGAAAAATAAAAAGACAAATTTATAAAATAAAGCCAAAAGCGTTGAAAAAATAAAAAAATAAATAAAATTTTTACAACAAAATTTATACAAATAACTTAAAATATTAACAGGTAATCTAATTAAAATATCAAAGGAAAAACTCAAGGTTACTCAATTAAAAAATAAAGAAATCTAAAGCAGATGCAGCAGACATTATTTCTGGAGTAATGTTGACAGACTTAAAAGACATGGAAACAACGTTTCTAACAACTTTGTTTAATTAATTCATAAAATGTAAAAGTAAATAAAGGAATGAAAGTATGTGCATAAAAACAAAAGAGACATTCCTGTTGTACAAACTTTTTTTTACACCTTTAATGAGAAGAAAATCTGTATACAGACCAGTGGCGGCCGGTCAGGATCGGCAGTGCCGACCCGCACCTTTATGGATATTAAAGATTTTTTTAATATTTAATTTAATCAGTATTTCAATAAATAATTGTGGTAGGCAATCAGTTGATGTCATTTGTTTTTTGTGAAATAAAAAAATATCTGTGAGATAATAAACACTAAATTTTATTCATGGTTTTTAAAAGGATTCGACCAATTCGACCAGACTAAATTTTATTCATGGTTTTTAAAAGAATTCGTCCAATTTGAGCGTTAAGTGATCTCTGCGTGGACACTTTTCAAATTGATGATCCGATATCGGACACATCCATCCGCCTGTGAATTCTTAAAAAGGCACGTTTTGTTTTTTCGGCAAGCCGACCTCAACATTGACGATTTATACTTGTAAAAATCAACGGAATACGTAAAAATCAACGAATACGGCAAATAAAAACGTAAGTAGTAAAGTGAAGTGATATTTAGTGCACGAACTAGCCTTTCTTTTTGTGATTCATTTTTATTTTTAAAGTAATACTGTGATACGTTACATCTGCCGTAAATAGTTAAAGGTTAAAGGGTTTTTTGACATATTAGAAGTTTTTTTTTTTAATTAAAGTGTAAACAAATTCAGGTAAATTTACCTAAAAAATGCAAGACATGGGAGAAATTGTAAGTATTGATAAGTCTGATATTGTAAGTTATATTTTGCATAATGGGTTTTCATCTATTCCATACGAAGAACAAATTGTTATTAAAAATAAGGGGCATCCTTTGCCCAAAATGTCCCGGCTTATAAATATTAGTGCGGGTAAGAGAAGGAAGAGATCATTTTCAGATAATTGGTACAGCAATTCCTCATGGCTTACCGGAAGTGAAATAAAAAACAAACTTTTCTGTTGGCCTTGCATTTATTTTTCGACAAATAGGGGCAAACATCAAAATCCGTGGTGTGAATCTAGTTACGATAATTTAAAGGAATTATTTAGGGCTTTTCAAAAACATGATATTTCGAAAGATCATACTTACAGCCAGATTAAATTACGCTAGGCGTAACACAAATTAATGTCAAAATAGAAGAACATATATTAAGATTGTTAAGGCATATGTAACGTAGAAGTTATAGTCAGCCAGTACGATTAATTGCTCAGTTACAAGTCACTAGACGTAGTAAAAGCAAAAAAAAATACCAAGAAAAACCTAGTAAGGGAATCTTAGACAGAATATGTCTGTAAATGAGATAAATATTTATTATTTTTTATATTATTTTTATGTACACATAAATCTATCTATTTTCAATGTGCTTTTAATAAATTGCCTTTCCAGCGTTTTCACCGTGTTCCCACTGATCGTCTTACTATTGAGAAACCATCTATCGCTATCTTTACTACTTTATTTGTTGGCATTCTTATTATATGCCATTTACCTATACTTCTAGCTTTGTCTTATAGTATTTTACTATCAATTTTTCATCTCTACTATTTCCACCGTCCTCTTTGTGTCAGGTCGTGTTTCTGCCGCGTATGCCATTCTTGGTCTGATGACTGCTTTGTAATTTCTTTTCCTATATTTTTATTTTGGTTTACCTAGGCTTCTTGCAGATTCTTTTCATCTTCTGCTTTTTGCAGCTCTCCGCAGCTAGACAGTGTAATGCTCAGATATTTAACTCCATCACTAGTCCTATTATCTGTCCCTCCAGTTTCAATTTACATCTTAGTAAATTGGTCGTTTTAACCGTGCATTTTGCTTTTTTTGTTAAAATTGTCAGATTTAATTTTCTAGCGAATATATTACATTGGTGAAGAATAGGTTGTACTCGAAGATATTAGTCTTACGTTATCTAAATAGCTTTTTTTAATGTCTTTTTCGCTGTGTTGGTTTTTTCAGTCTTCGTCATCTTTTGCATCTTACCACTTGAGATTTAATGTATTCCGTTCCTTCGCCATCTTTAAGTATTCGTCTTTCCTTCAAGATTTTTTGTGTTTTGTTTTTATTTGTTTCAAAGACGCCTAATAATGCTTCATTACTTCTATCTTTTATTGTTTGATACATTTTCTCTTCTATGCTGTTACTATTTAATGTAATTTTTGTGATAACTGTAATTTTTGTAATAAACTACCCTCGGTACTGGATCAGAAGTTGTTAGGTGAACATTTTAACAAATCTTACAGCCTATGGGTCAATATAAAACTATATTCCAAGTTTTTGCTTTCGGGACCGCATTGATGAAATCCTGAATTGAGATCCTAAAGCAAAGAGAATCAACATTTATACTGATAGCCAAGCGGTTGGTCTGTCTGTGAAGAAGCCACTAACCAAATTAAAACTGCGGTAAGAAACTGCAAAGATCTCGTCAATAACCCAAGTCATTTACTTATAATCTATTTTATTATAATCCGTATAAATCTTAATAAAGTTAAAAAAAGAGATTAGTTCACCGGTTTCGGTATTTACAAATTTTTACAGCAGCAATATCAGCAGCCTGATATCTTTAGTTTGTTGAGGGCCTGGAAATGCTGTAAAAGTTTGTTAACAACGAAACCGGTACCCTTTTTTACCTTTAATAAAAGCTACAACCGAAGTTCCGTTACTATGAGTGCTGAGTCATGAAAAGGTGTATTGGAATAAACGAGATTTGTTTGCAAAATAAGCCTCAAGGGAAACCTTTTAACTGAGGCTTAAACTACAAGATATCCTTAAACTACCAATGATAAAACTGTTTGCCGTCCTTGGGGCCACAGGACTTATTGAAGTTTAATGAAAAATAAATAGGGTTTTACAAAGGTCTTATAACTTGGTGCCAGAAATTAAAGTTTTTTAACTCAAATAGAAAGAAGAAGGAGAAGTGTAGTTTGTACTGCAAATAAAGAAATTATTGGATTCTCTGCATTAATTCAAATTTAGATTCAACTTGTTTGGCTTTCTTTATGTCACACTCTTTAGATAGTTTTGTGATCTAAAGCTACAGTATAATATATTACCTTAAACAATATCAAAAATTAAAACAATAAGTCATCATTCTTAGCTTCCTGTGAAGTGGTACCACTTAAATCAACAATTTGAATAGAATTATATGTTAAGTTAATAATAATAAGTACTTGGCCTATGCGCGGTTTTTATCACAAGCAACGTCAGTAGGTTTTTTGGTATAAATACTACACCTTTCAAGATGTGTTCATATTCAGTTTGAAAGAACTAATAGCAACAATGTTTGTCCCTAAAATCCTCTTGCTCTTGGGCTTTGCCCTTTTCGTCTCAGCCGGTAAGTTTTGAATTATTCTCTGGTTTTGGAATGTTTGTAAAAATTTACATTACTAAAATAGTAGTATAAAAATCAGTTCCATAGTTTCTTTGATTTTTAACACAACGTTACCGAAACCGGTTAAAATAAGTATTACCTATATATCTAGATATCAATTAATGTTTTCTTAGAGCATATCAAATCTATATGTTCCATAGTTATAATGTGATAATAAACTTAAATTAATTATAGGAACCGACCTTGATACCGGCTACGAAATTTTGAGATGCGCCAACAAAGCAATGAGGGCAGGAGTACCTGAATTGGGAGTTCCACCACATGATCCCTTCGTCGCCTTTAAAAAGAACATCTCATGGACCGGAGACATCGGTGTTGCTAGGTAAGAGGAACATTTGGGATAAGTTTTTTCAATTTGATCCTTTATTTTGGATTGTATTTTTTACTTAGGCAATTTCTACAGATTTGTTAGCTAATGGTATAACTAAAATTTTTTAAGAAAAATGTTACGTGTTTAAATCAAGAAGGAGCTTGAGTTGATACTCAGGAAACTAAAAGGAGTAAGCCAGTAACATGGACTACGAATTATTAAAAATTAAACCAAAGTGACAAACCGATAAAACCAAAAACAAAAGAATTAAAATTGAGCACATTGCTGAATATCAGTTGGTTGACAGTTTTGTGTATTTAGGCACCACCGGCCATAACAATATGTGAACAGGAAATTTGACGATGTAGTGATACGCGTGGAATCACTGTGTCAAACTTTATGAAATTATGAAAAACACACATATAACAAGAAACACTGAGGTCAATCTTGTATGACCATTGGTTTTACCAATATTTAGCAATCTGTGAAGAATAAGTCTGGGGCGATCACAAACCCAATTAACTAATAGAGTCAAAAAATTATTTGGTACATCCAACCCAAAATAGAGATAGATTAAACGGTCAAATTTTTTTTATTTATGATTTAATTTTGTTAGAGCTACCCAACTTTATACATGTACATTTCTAACATTTCCACTGTTTGTGTGAAATTTTCCTTGTATACTTGTAAATCATATTTTCCTTTTATTTCTAGCACCTCAATTGACGTAGACACATTGAGATGGTATGGTCTTGCTGACTGGGATATCTCTGCCAAACAAATCAGTAATGATTCTGATAATGAAGCTGTCTTTGACTACACCACATACTGGCCCGTTTTCACAATCAGCGGCAACTACAAAGCAACTGTTAAAGAACTGTTCCTTACACAACATTACAAAGGAAGCTTCAAGTAAGTATCAATGTAAAGAAAAATATAATGATGGTATAGAAGCTGTTCTAGATAAATTTTATTAAGGAAGCTTAGTGTATTTTATGTGTGAAGCTAGGAAGTGTAATATTCTTTTTATTATACTATAAACAGATAAAGCACGACTGATTTAAATTAAATTTATAGAGTTACACAATATGTATACATTTTCTTTTTTATTAAAGTCACCACAAATTCACGTAATTACCAAAAAATATTTAAATTAAAGACATCATAGTGATGTCATAATTAAAGACAATGCCTTTATTTAATATATTTTCATTTTTATCTTAAAGTATGGAAATGCTATTTTGAAATTAAATTAATCTTCTTATTTAGGTACCATCTCCTCTAAGGAGGTTGGTAATCATCACAGCTATTTTCACTTTTGAGATTGCAGCTCTGAACAAGTCGACGGAATTGCAATTATACCACTTTTTCAGACTGTTGAGCCAGGAGATGCGTCTTCTTCCAATACTTCGTTTTTTCTGTATTTTCCCTGCATTATGGTTTGTAGCAACACATATTTATCCCCTCTCATAACGTGGCTGAGATACTGTAACTTTCTTGTCTTAATCGTATTCATGATTTCCATTTCCTTTGTCATCTTTCTGAGGACCTCAACATTTGTTATTCGATCTACCCAACTTATTTTTAATATTTTTCGGTAGGTCCACATCTCGAATGCTTCAAGTCGATCGCTCACCTCTTTCTTTAAGGTCTACGCCTCCACCCCATATAGCAACACCGAAAACACATAAGAACATAATATTCTTACTTTGAGTTGTAAACTAAGGTCTCTACTGCATAATACTTTTCTCATCTTATTAAATGTTACTCTAGCTTGTCCAATTTTCATTTTTATTTCTTCTGTATACTCGTTATTTTCATTAATAATTGTACCAAGATATCTGTATCTTTTTACTTTTTCTATTGGAACTCCTCTTACGTTTAAAATGTCTTGTTGTGTTTTGGAAATTGTCATAAATTTTGTTTTATTAGCATTAAGCGTTAGTCCGCTTTCCTCACTAGCATTTACTACATTATCTAAAAGTGTCTGTAGATCTTGTATATTCTCTGCAATTAGTATAGTATCATCGGCTTATCTGATATTGTTGATGGGTTTTCCGTTGACTTTTATTCCAATTGTTACATTTTCGAGTGATTTTTTAATTATTTCTTCCGAATACAGATTGCACAATAAGGGGAGAGTATGCAACCTTGCCTTACGTCTCTTTTTATCTCTACTTCCTCCGAAAGTTCTCTGCCGACTCTGACTTTTGCTGTGTGGTTAAAGTAGGGATGAGTTATTATTCTTAAGTCTTTTTGGTCAATGTGTGTCTCTTTAAGTAACTTTATAAGACGGTTGTGTCGGACCGTATCGAACGCCTTATTATAATCAATAAAACAAACATAGAGTGGTTGGTTTATATCCATACATCTTTGCATGAGGATGTTAAATCCAAATAATGCCTCTCGTGTACCCATGGCATTCCTAAATCCAAATTGGGTTTCAGTGATGCCTTGTTCCACTTTTCTGAAAATTCTTAAATGGATAATTTTTAAGAATACTTTTAGTGTGTAACTCATTAGACTAATTATACGGTTGTCATTACATTCCTTTGTATTAGGTTTCTTTGGTAATGTAATAAATGTTGATTTGAGCCAATCTCTCGGAATAATACCCGTATTATATATAGTATTATATAAGTCTACTAATACATTGATCTGATCTTCTGATATTAATTTAATTATTTCAGTTGGAATTGTGTCAGGTCCCGCAGTTTTATTAGATTTTGCCAGATTTATTGCATGTATTATTTCATCCTTAGTTATATTTGGACCTATATCATGTTCCTCACAATCGTTTATGCTATCTTGTTGTATCCTGTCATCCTCAAACAATTCTTGGACGTATTCTCTCCATCTGTTTAGTTTGCTTTTGACATCAGATATTATTTTACCATGCGTATCAACCAGGGTGTTACTGTTGTTGGACCGTCTTATACCTTCTAATTCTTTAATTTTTTTGTGTAGTTCAAAACTATCATGATTTCTCTGGAGTTCTTTTATCTCTAAACATTGGTCGTTGTACCACTTTTCTTTAGCTGCCCGTATTTTTATCCTGATCTCCTTGTGTGTGGCTTTGTATTCATTTACATTTTTGCTTTTGTATGATCTTCTTTTGTCCATTAGTTGCCGGATCTCATCTGTCATCCATGGAGTCTTAACTTCATTATTGTTTTGCTTAACTCCTCGTTAATTTTCAACGTTAGTTCTCCTTTTGTATTTGGGTGTTTTAGCAGAGTGCTTACTTGTTGTGTCTTTTATTGTTTTTTTTATTTTCTTTAAGTGGATTTCGAATTAATAAATTAATATAAAACGATTTTTTCAGAGTTGTCATGGAGAAACCAAAATGGACTGGAAGAATCACAGCTGGTAAAATTCAACCAAACGCTACTGTAGATAGCTTCACCGTTTCATGGCACGTAGCTGATGTTGATGTAAGTTTTTTATTATTTTTAAGTCATACCTTTCATTTTTTCATCTTCTACCAGAGGAACTGTTGTATTTTGTTGTAACTGTTTGCTTTCCAGTGAAGAAAATTTGATGCTACCTACTCATTTATTTATGAAGTGACCTAACGTGGCATAATTAAATTACCAAAGAAGCTAATGTTACTCCTTTACTATTAACTCATATTATCAACTTGGCATTCGAGTTATAACATTTGATTTTTATATATTTAATTGTCTCTCTTTTGTAGGTTTCCATTTCTGGATTGGGTCTCATTGGAGATGCTACAGCTCTCGCCATTCAAGAAGGTATTGAAACTGCCCTCAATGCCGATCTCCTCGGAAATGTCGTAGGAGACTTCCTTAAAATGAGATTCAACACCGTCTGGTACCCCACTGGCAAACTTTGGGTTCTCATGGACTGGTGCAAAGCCAACAGCGGAACCAGCGCAGCACCATCTTTTTAATCAAATAGTTAAATAATAATAGACTTTTTGTCTAACGTTGTAAAGATATTACATAATAAAATCGAATTAATTCTTTAATAATTTTTAAAAATTTTATTCAAAATTGAAAACAAATTCCTATTCCAGTCTCCCAAAATACGATCCTATTCTCTACTGCAAGAACACTACGTTTATAATGTAGTTAATCAAACTCACATTTTTACATACACTTAGGGCCGGTTCTACAATGCTAGTATATACTGAGAATAAAGTTATACTTGGAATAACTTCATTAATGGTGTTCTACAAACAAAGAATAAACTAGGAATAAAATAATCGGAGTATATCTGTAGAATAACTTTATCCCTCCAAAGTTTAGCAGATATACCGAGTATAAATTTTATACTACATTTCTATTGGTCGGTCAGGGGTTGTCAAATCTGTAATATTTTAACCTCACTTTGTTTGTTTTTATATATAAAATAAAATTTTTGATATTGCACAAACATTTTAGATTGTAAAGCCAAAGGAAAGCATTTATTATTTCAATTCTAAAATTTTAGGATATGTATGTAATGTAATAACGTCTACACATATGACTAGTATACCTAGTATATAGGTATAATCTTACGAGGGCAATATATTTTTTAATGTTTTGATAACAGAGACTGTAATTCTAGAATCTGTATTATATAAACATTTCTTTAACTAAAATTATTTATTTTGTAATCCAATATTTATACTTTTTTAAAATGTGGAGTATACCTATATAGATATATTTACATAATTTTGGTTATTATATTATAACACTAATCTCAGTTGATGATAACAAAAAATTTAAGAAGGAAATTTTACATCTTTTTTATCCATTTTATATTAATTTTAAAAAGTATAATAATATAAATGTAGATAAAATACCAGATAAAGCGAATCAATTATTCAATTCCTTTCAATTGTAAACAAATTTTACAGTTATGACAAATGCCAAATGTCGCTGTCAATAACAATTTGAACTAATTTTGAAGACATCAGATCTACTATTTCGTTTTACCTTAGTGTTCTATGGTCATACCCAGAATAACTATTCCGCTGTCGATTTCACAATGTAGAACGCTCGAAAGGTTATACTTGGAATAAACTCAAGTATAAGTTATACTCAGAATAACTATTCTCCAATTTATACCTGGGAATTTGTATATCTGGGCAGCATAATTGACTGTAATGGGGGTACAGAGCGTGATGTACATGAAAGAATAAATAAGGCTCGCAACGCCTACAACATGCTTAACAACATATGGAAATCCAGGATTTACACAACTAAAACGAAACTAAAAATCTTCAACACAAATGTAAAAGCTGTATTACTGTATGGCTGCGAAACGTGGAAGATATCAGCACCCATAGTACACCAATTACAAGTTTTCATTAATAGAGCGTTACGAAAAATCCTTCGTATATTTTGGCCTAACCGAATCTCCAATGAAAATTTATGGAACCAAAGCAACCAAGAAAATGTCATAAAGCAAATAAGGCGAAGAAAATGGAGATGGCTGGGCCACACACTCCGTAGACCGCCAAATGACATTGCCAGGACAGCACTGGATTGGAATCCCCAAGGCCGACGGAAAGTAGGCAGACCTAAGGGAACTTGGAGAAGGACAGTACTGGACGAAGGGAGAACAATGGGAAAATCCTGGCTTGAAATCAAAGCACTAGCCAGAAATAGAGTTCGCTGGAGACACTTTGTGGAAGCCCTATGTTCCTCTTAGGAATCTTGGGACTATATATATAATTTATACCTGGAATGTAGAACCGGCCCTTAATGGATCCTCTACACATCGGCAGACGCGTGCGCAGACGACATCTACGTATGAATATGAAGATGTGTAGATGGGGTAGATCATATGTTGTTTATATATCACTTCCGCGGATGTGTCTGCATGATATCCGACTGTTGTCGGTTTTTTTAGCACAGATTAAAGTGTTCGGTGCGGACGTCAGATATTGCGTCTCTTGGGAATTAACACAGACTGAACGATAGATGTGTCCAGATGTGTGGTCAGCTTATGTTGATACATCTTCAGATGAGTCCGTAGACGCGTCTGCCGATGTGTAGTGGAGGCATAAGAAGAGGGGAATAGATGGATAACAGGTTACCAGTAAAAGGTGGATTCAAATAGTTTTGTAATTCTATTAATGGTATTTAAGTTTTTAACAAAAATTTTGTTCATTTATGTTTTTAAATAAATTTCGCTGCTATTGATTTGTATGCATGTTTTTTTTATATCAAATTAAATCCAATTTTTTTAATTTGATGAGATAAGGTCGTCTAAGAATAATGGCCGCAAATTAGGGTTACAATTGATACTAGCCATGTCAAACCAGTGGCGTTGCGCTCCAGCTGTGCTATATATATATATATATATATATATATATATATATAATATATATAATATATATATATATATATATATATATCAAATTATTCTCGACCGTACTGTGTTAAATATTATTTGTAGTCCTCAGCAATTGGTCTGTATGAAATAAAACTCTATTTGTTATTTCTCAATATTTCGTCACGATTTTGTGACTTCTTCAGGAGAAATCTGTAAATTTATTATAATTATTATATGTAAACAAAATGAATATTTCAATACTTACAACTTAAGATTAAAAATTTAAATTTTGAGAACATATCCAATTTAAATAAATGACATTTTTTGATTTTAATTTATTTTGGAGTTATGGTAACCGCAATATTTTATAGAGTGAATTCCCATTGTACAATTTTTAGCGAATAAGTTTTAGTAAACAATTACATATGATAACTGTCACATATATGTAATTGTTTACTAAAAACTTATTCGCTAAAAATTGTACAATGGGAATTCATTCTATAAATATTGCGGTTACCATAACTCCCAAATAAATTAAAATCAAAAAAATGTCATTTATTTAAATTGGATATGTTCTCAAAATTTAAATTTTTAATCTTAAGTTGTAAGTATTGAAATATTCATTTTGTTTACATATAATAATTATAATAAATTTACAGTTTTCTCCTGAAGAAGTCACAAAATCGTGACGAAATATTGAGAAATAACAAATAGAGTTTTTATTTCATACAGACCAATTGCTGAGACTACAAATAATATATATATATATATATATATATATATATATATATATATAAATATAAATATGTATATATATATATATAATATATATATATATATCCTCCTAACATTGCAGACTCTGCATTAAGGTTTTTACCATACACAACGGACTCGAGCGATTTATGGACTCAATATACAGAGTCCGTAAAGTTTTTCATGTATTTCTTTTAACTGATTGTTATTTTCTACCAAAATTTTATTGAATGCGAAACTAGAGACCTCTACCTACTGCACATGTGTATTACAAAAATTGTGGGTATTATAGAATAGCTGCAAATTATAAAACAAAATGAGTCCGTAAAGTCGCCTTTAATTCAGCCATTTGCCGTGGAGAGAGCGCTTTTATGAGTATACTGAATGTGTATATCACTTATGTGTAAACCATATTGCCATATTACAGACTCGACTTAGCTGGCAACAGTGTTGTTCAACTATTGAATCATTTTATCTGGCTCAAATTACAGAGTAAGATTGTTTACGTTCATATGGTGATGTTATCGTTAATTTTTATGTGTTGGAAAATGTATTGGTATACAGTGTATATATTTAGTAAAATAAACGAGGATCTTTTGTTTCACAGAAATTACTTCGACACTGAAATTTTTAATAAAAAAAACGTATTTCTATTTATATACTCGTATAGAATAAGCTACTTATTTTTTATTCAATTGAAAAGTTACATTGAGATTAGATTTTTGAAAGGACGCAATTTAATTTTTTTGATATGTGGGGGTGGTGAGTATAAACTTCAATTCAAGTTTGTGAAGTCGCAACCCTTGTTCCCAGGCCGTCATCTTGGAAAAAGAGAGGCAAAGGGTTTTTGCGCTGTATCTCGTAAATTAGCAACTTTACAGAAAATTTTATAATTCATTATTTTTACCAAATTAAATTTTCTACAACTTTATCTGTATTACTTTTTATCGGAAAATAAAAAATAACAAAGTTATAAACCAAAATAACTAAGAAAATTTTGAAAAAATTTTTCGATTGTGCTTTTCGCTTATAACTTTTTCTAGCGATTTTACAATAAAACAATAATTAAAAAAAACAATAAATTTAAAAAAAAATGGATGGTTGTGTAGCTGTGTGAAAACTTTTGTAAATGGATTCCGTTAATAAATAAAATGATATCAGAGCAATATCATAGAGTAATTTTCACTACAAATTTGTTTAATTTCATTCATTTTCTAGTTTTTGCAGCGCTCCAATGTTGATTGGGTCCTTGAATACTCGCCATCTTGAAATAAGGATTGTAAAGGAGAGTGAAAATTTTATAAAACATTATTATTTATAGCAATTTAAATTGTATTTATTTATATAACTTTTAATCGAAAATTGAAAAAAAAAAGTTACAAACAAAAATAACTAAAACATTTGAATAAATCTTTTGGGCCTTATAACTTTTTCTGGTTATTTTAAAATAAATTACATTAAATCGACCTTAAGCTTAGTTTTTTTATTATATATTTTTTCTTCATATCATTTATTATTTTGTTAACCTTCCTATGGACTCTCTCCCTCTCTCTCTTTCTAGCTCTTCTCTCTCTCTCTCTCATTAATCTCTCCTCTCAAAGGGAGTGTAGTGATCATCGTGATTCCTATGGTATCATTAGTTTATTATTGATCTTTTTCCCAATCACCTATGAGGTAGAGTCTGGAAGTTTTTGAACAAACTTTTGTTTGAGCCTTATACATTTTTTCTGGTCATTTTGCAATAAAAGACATGAGAGCACTATTATAGAGGGTTTTCAACGAATAATTTTTACTGCAAATGTGTTTTATTTCATGAATTTCTTTCGGTTTTATAGCATTCCGAAGTTGACCGGATTCATGAGTACTCATAAA